AATTCAGGCGACTTGATTCTAAACCCAACCCTATTATATATTTTCGAACTTAAATTAGCTATATTAATTTAAAATATTATGTAAAATAAATATAATACCTGGGGGTTACATTTATGCCCTATACGTGGTGGTTAGAATTCATATAGGTACATAAACACTCACGCCTGTCTCTCAGAGGGGTTGGCAGAGACTATAAACTTTCATTAGACACGATCCTGACACACCTCTCTCGCCTCCTTCACACCCACATACTTACGCATACATGATCGTTAGTAGTCTTAATTTAACCCATCTTCAATTTATCGCCAATTTGATTGATCCACAAATTCCAACACATTCATTTAATCCCACAATAGAACTAATTTCAAGTACAATCGCAATAAGTTTTTTTTCTTAATATAAATAAGAAGTTGTTGAACACGTTTAAGATGCGTAGCATCATATTAGTCTGTGCGTTCAAGCAAACCATAGTATATTGGCATCACAGCTAGGGATTTTGTCTTGTTTAATAATTAACCGGTAACCGTTAGCCACGAAATCGTTTGCCGTTCCTGCGTGTGCAATTATCAGGCGTTGTCCTTTACCTTCGGACACTTTGGTACAGGAATAGTGTGGTTCACATTAAGCAACGTCTCATCCACAAATACGAGTTTATCCCAATTTGAAACATGTTTAGCTTTTCTCAAAAAGTTCACCCGGGCCGAGGCAATATCTGTGCGCTCCATTCTTATTTTTCTTTTATCGCATTTTTTATAAGCAAAGCCATATTTGTGTAGTATGGTGGCCAATGACTGCAAACTGCTTTTAAATAAAGAACTCGTACTAATTACATATTGGCTGACTGACAGAAAGATGACAGGCTGTAGTGTTGCCACAATCTTGGAGTCAATAGATACTATTTTTAATTTCCATTTTTTCCAGAATAACAGCAGACAATATAGGGCTGTTACGCAATCAGTACCTTTAATAGAACATATTTTGCCAAAAAACATCCAATTCCAATATATATTTACGTGGTTTTATATATTCGATTTATTTCAAAACCGATTTTGATAGTCTTGTGGTTGTTCGTTATGGTTTTGCATGGCACATCACTATCGTAAGTGGGCGGCACCCATCCATGAAGTACAACAATATCTGTATGACAGTTTATCTAAAAAAACACAAAACCTCATAGGCGTGAGCTTTCAAAATTATCAAGCTAAATTTGACGGAGTGTAGTAGTGATAATACGACGTAACCGCTTGTACGTGTGCTCTCGGCAACACCGTTTCTCGTACAAAATATGGTTGACAGCCATTGTATTGTGTATTATAGTATTCTTTGGTATTTATATTCTATGCTATAATATGCATAGACTTAGAATATACTAGCGTATAGACGACCTGACATCCCGAAAACGCGTGACTAATTTTGATTTTTCATTGTGTGGGAGAGCTAGTGATGTACATTTTACTTACAAATACTATCGATAAATGATTGTTAAAGAAGCAGTAAAAAGATTTTAAGAATAGTTTAGTGCACGAAAATGAATAACTTCAAAAGTTAACTTCATTTTTAGTTCTAAAATAATTAAAAAATATTCATATAACATGTTCCTGGGAATAAGCTGAACCTATCTGCCTTTTGTTGGATTTTAATTCAAATGTAAACAATCCCAGGTGACTTTACCGATAAACTTAAAAAAACTCCCCAATAATCAGATCGGATAGTCGTATTTTAGAGTTATGATCATTGCAGAAAAATATTTACTGCCATGTGCAATTTCCCCGGAATTTCTTTTTTAACATATTGTTAATATAAATAGGTAGACACATAACTAAGTAAATACCTATTTATATTTTATAAAATGTTTTGATGCGGAAATTATAAGGGCTGCTTTATTTTTCATATTAGTATTACTTTTGATAATTACAAACATTTAGTAATTAATAATTAAATATATTATAGCATTTTATTTTAACGTTCGACTTAAATATGAATGTAAACTTAATAATTCAAGTAAGGAAATGCAATGTTTGTTTCCAATATGTTTATGACGCTTCATCATGCTTCATGTTTATATTCTTTCATATGTCCCTAAATAAAGTAATAGTAAAGTTATAATTATTTTAGCTGCATGAATTTAAAAAACGTAATGATCTTAACAGAGTCTCTATTCTCTCAATCTCGGTATGTTAAAAAAATGGTCACTCATTCATGGACTGACCGCGGCAAGTGCAACTTAACCTCGCAGATCTATTTATCCACGCAGCTTTTACTTAACCACGAGTTCCTCTTATCTACGACTAACGCTATAGGCGATGACCCATGCTATTTAAACCCTTGACATTATGTCGTCAGCCATCAAGTATGAATCGGGCATCGAGCGTTGTGAGTATTAAATACTATGGAATTTATAATATCCTGGCATATTGAACCGCGCGTCTCATGCGCGCTTCCAGAGCATTACTCAATATATCTAACTACACCAAAAGTTTTCTTATTGTGACTTGGGAATATAATCCGAAGCTCCACGCAACCCCTTGGGGGAAAAAAGCGTGATGCTAGGAGTATTGTACAAGTGTGATCGTGAGATGCGGGTGGTGAAGTAAGGTTATACATTTTTTTGGCTGATAAATAGATAAATTTTTGAAGTCTTATTATAACAATATTTGTCTATAGTAGTCTAGTAATAATGTTTTATCATAGCTTACTGGTACAAATAATGTAGACATGGCGTCTTTTAATAAAATTGTTTTTATTCTACTTTTTCTTTTATACTTCTCAAGTAAATGTTTGCTGCAAATTGTTGAGTTTTTCTTTTGATTCCAACCCGTCCAATTAGCCATAATCATATTTGCCGTGTAGTAGCGGTTAAAAATATCCACTACCCAGATCTTCCCGTGGGTAGTCGTAAGAGGCGACACAGGTAAACAGGCAGAAAATGAGCAGCAGCATCTTCCTAACAACAGCAAAATTACAATAAAAAAACTGTGGTTACCAACCCGCTCGCCAAGCGTGGCAAATATGGCAAATATCCCCCATGATATGAAAGTTACGAAGAGACGGCCCTCAGTCCTCGGCGGCCCCACTATTCTTGGCTACGGTGGCAAACATGGTAACGGCGGGGCAAGGGGTGCTACGAATCTCCGGTGGAGGTTCGGCTGCCACCTAAAACGACTCGACCTGGCAACTTACAACAAACGCTTCCTGAGGACTGACGAGAAGATCCTGCAGCTGGGAGAAGAGATAATTTGTTTATATTAACGTGGATTTTAAATGATTTATTTCTTTAATAACACTAATGATTTATGTACTTATTACTTTTTTAATATAAAAATACGAACTAAATTATAACTTAATATATTTTTAAGCTAAAAATAACACGGGAGCTGATATGAACTTGGCAAAGCGCCCTTTACGCCCTCGATGAAAAAACAAAATGCAGATGCATTGTCACCGCTGAGAACTGAGATGAAATTAATCGTTTCCAGTAAAAAAGGTCTCTACACTCACCATACGAAGAACAGCAGCGCTAAGCTGCTATTTTACGCTGGTTTCTGTGAGAGCAAGGTCCTACCCCAATCCAGCCGACCCAGTCAATTAGGAGAACTCAGTAAACATTTAAAAAATCTTAGGCGTTGAACTGAGAACCTTCTTGTTTTTGTGGTAGGTTAAAAGTGTGGATTATGCGTGTAAAACCTTTTCTGTAAAATAATTAACATACATAAAATAATACTATATTACATAAAATTATCGCTGCTACATTTTCGTGTAATCTGTCAGCATTATTTTTAAAATGAAAAAGCGTTTTTCATTTATAAAACTCTACGCCCTCTTGGAGTCTCGCAATAAAGTTGGGTAAAAAACAATGTGTTAATATTTCAACCTTTTCCAATAATCGACGTTAAATTGACCGCGGGCTATTTCTCAGTGAAAGGGAAATTTCGCCAAACGTTGAAGATCCTAATATAAACGTAGCGTATTTTAAGTTATCCAGTTAAGCAAAGTTTGGCGACGTCGTTATGACGCTTATAGCCCTTATTTTGTTTTAAATTTATAAAGATGATTTGCGTGTTTGCGAAAACACACGACCCACACGACTTTCACATTTATTTTTACGTAAAGGTACATAAAAAGTGATTGTAGCGTCAGATAAGCATAACAAACAATTTATACTTGATACTATAAGCTCTCACGTCTGATACCCAGTGCTCATCGGTTAACGATAATTTTAATTCGGCCCATCTTCAATATATCGACAACTTGGTCCATAAATATTTGTCTAGGGTATCCTTTGCCGACTCTGACACTTACACACATGTTGTTTTGTCACTCTTAATAAAATAAATAATAAATATATAGTTAGCTATATTTACTAGTTATAACATAGCCTCATAGGTAAAGAGCCTACACAGCAGCGACCCCGATACATTGCAGCGGCACGAGGCGCAACTCAGCAGAACGTGAGCATTGACGTCAACGGATGCAACCGGAGCTCTGCAATATACCTTTACCTTATTTTTACTGTAATAATTAAAATTCATTCTAGATCTAGCATCGATCTGATTCACTTATATTTTAGTTATAGTAATTATATTGTAATTTTTATATTATAATAAAGTATTTTAAACTAGTTTCGGTTTTTTTTGGGTCCTTCGGCTGCAGTTAACGTAATTGGCGCAGTCGGTAGGATACTCAAAAGTTAGTTAGGCTATCGTAGCTTTCAAGCTTTAAACGAGTATTCGAATCTACTACGGGTCAACTGCAAGCCAAGAGGATACATCAAGACATCGATCCCGAGAAAACCGAGATGAAATTTATGTAAGTACACCAGAATTTTATCTAGTGTTGCTTTCCTTTTCCTAGTGTAAATCTTTCCTGTCAAAATTTTCTATCCAAGGAAATCATCCCACTGTGACCCTACATCGCGTAGGCAGCCACGTAGAGAAAGTTTAGACTATAATAGAGATTTAAGTTGTTATTTAGAGTTAGATATAATTACCGAGGAATCAAAAATGGCCCACGACCCTGACACTATTTTCAAAGTTTTACGCCCAGTGCCAGAGTTTGACGGTAATCCTAATGTACTAACTAGGTTTATAAAATTATGTGACCAAATATGTGCTGCATATCTAAGTAATGAACCTGGCAGTGAACTATCGAACTTATGTTTGCTTAACGGTATATTAAATAAAATAACTGGACCCGCCGCGACTACTTTAAATTCAAATGGTATTCCTGAAAGCTGGCATGGCATTCGTACAGCTTTAATCAATAACTTTTCGGACCAAAGAGACGAAACGGCGCTCTATAATGACCTCTCATTAGCTACTCAGGGGAACAGCTCTCCCCAAGAATTTTATGCACGATGTCAGACACTGTTCAGCACTATCATGACGTATGTTACGCTTCATGAAACCTTGCCTACTACAATAGAAGCCAAACGTGTATTATATAAGAATCTAACGAAGCAAGCTTTCGTGCGCGGTTTAAAGGAGCCACTGGGCTCACGAATACGTTGCATGCGTCCTGATACCGTTGAAAAAGCCTTGGAGTTTGTACAGGAAGAACTGAATGTTATGTACTTGCAACAACGCGGTGAATCTTTCGCCGAGAGGAAACCTCAAGCACCTAAGCCTCTCCAACCTAGCTACATGACCTTACCTTTGCAAAAACCATTCAGTTTTCCTGCACCGATACCAATGCCCAATTTACAGCGACCTTTACATGTACCACAGCAGCAAGGTTTTAGGCCTAACGTGCCACCACAGTATAACATGCCTACGAGAACTCAACAAATGTTCCGCGCTTTGCCACCTAATTATAAACCCCATAGTAATACGTTTAGATTACCAAATAGGAATCCACCCCATGACTCAGGTCCGAAGCCTATGAGTGGGGTTAGCCATTACGTACCTAAACCAATGCCCCCGACAGGTCTGACCGGTCATGATTGGCGCAAATACGGTAACCCGCCGCCTTCAAATTACTTCAAAAGTAGGGAAATGAATTTTAACGAATGTGCTGATTACGATAGTTACTATTATCCTGAACACCAATACGACTATTACGACTATAATGATAATGACGACTATACCAATACTGTGGCCTATGACTATGACGACACACAGCATTACCAATACCATGACGCAACTGAGATAAATGATACAACGCAACAAGATAACATAGACTGCCAACCTTCTACAAGCAGTTCGCCTCAGGATTTTCAAAAGACTCGTTTTTCAAAAAAGCCAAAATAGAAGTTAACTTACATACGCAGAGACAGCTACCATACATATGTATTTCTAACCCTCCGTTAAAATTTCTTATCGATACCGGAGCGAATCAGTCCTTCATTAATCCGGAAGCTATACAAAAATATTTTCCACATATACCTTTAAATTATGATCCTTTCGAGGTAACGAATGTGCACAACTAGGAATAATTATTCGATAACTATTCCATGCTTTTCCGAATTCCAAGAGCCTGATAGTATTAAATTATATATTTATAAATTCCACGATTACTTCGATGGCCTTATTGGTCTTGACCTATTAGAGAAATGGGAAGCTAGAATAGATCTAAAGGATAGATTACTTGTAACACGATTAGCTTACAACCCCATCTTAATGTATAACTCTAGAAATGTTAATTTTTACGAGGACGTGATACCATCCCAATCTTCAAAATTAATAAAAGTACCTATTAATGTCCATGACGGAGAAGCCTTAGTTAGCGAACAATACATTTCTAATTGCGTGATAAACGAATGTCTAACATTAGTGTCAAATAACCGCGGTATTATAGAGGTATTTAACCCGACTCCGCACGATATAATTTTCTCCCTAGATCGTCCAATATGTGCTGAGACGTATAACATCGAGTCCTCTCACAACGTTCAACCACTCCCACATTACAAAGAAGTATTATCACGTTTACGCACCGATCATCTAAATGCCGAAGAACGCGCTAATTTAGAAAGATTATGTGCCAAATACGCCGACGTTTTTTATATAGAAGGCGAACAGATCACATTTACTAATAAAATAAAGCATAGCATCCGGACCACTGATGAGATACCGATATATACTAAAAGCTATCGGTACCCTTACGTTCATAGAGACGAAGTTAAGCAACAAATCAGTAAAATGCTAGAGCAAGGTATAATTCGTCCGTCAGAATCTGCATGGAGCTCTCCCATCTGGATAGTTCCTAAAAAGGTTGATGCTTCTGGCAAGACTAAATGGCGACTCGTAGTAGACTTTAGGAAGCTAAATGAAAAAACCATTAGTGATAAATACCCAATACCGAATATATCGGATGTACTAGATAAGTTAGGAAATTGCCAATATTTCACAACCTTGGATTTAGCCAGTGGATTTTACCAGGTCGAAATGAACCCTAGTGACATACCGAAAACAGCATTCAACGTTGAACATGGGCATTTCGAGTTCTTACGGATGCCCATGGGCCTGAAGAACTCGCCATCCACGTTTCAGCGTGTCATGGATAACGTGCTCCGTGACCTACAAAATACAGTTTGTCTCGTGTACTTAGACGATATTATTGTGTTCAGCACTTCCTTGCAAGAACACATGGTAAATCTTGAGAAAGTATTTCAGAAACTACGGGAATCCAACTTTAAAATACAAATGGATAAATCCGAGTTTCTTAAATTGGAAACCGCTTATTTAGGACATATAATTAGTAAAGATGGCATTAAGCCAAATCCTAGTAAAATATCAGCCATAGAAAAGTATCCATTACCCAAAACCGCAAAAGAGATTAAACAGTTTTTAGGCCTTATAGGTTATTATCGGAAGTTCATCCCAGACTTTGCTCGAATTACTAAACCTCTGACACAATGCCTAAAAAAGGGACGAAAAATAACTCTTGACACAGACTATATTAACTGCTTTGAAAAGTGCAAGACTCTCCTGACTAACGACCCAATCCTTCAATACCCTGACTTCAACAAAGAATTCATCCTGACCACTGACGCATCCAATGTAGCGATAGGAGCCATCCTATCTCAGGGACCCATAGGATCAGACAAACCTGTATGTTACGCTTCTAGAACTCTAAATGAGAGCGAAGTGAACTACAGCACTATAGAGAAAGAACTCCTTGCCATCGTGTGGGCAACCAAATACTTTAGACCCTACCTATTTGGCCGTACTTTTAAAATCTTAACTGATCATAAACCCCTTCAGTGGGTAATGAATCTTAAGGAACCGAACTCACGACTTACTAGGTGGAAATTAAAATTAAGCGAATACGATTTTTCTGTCATATATAAAAAAGGAAAAAATAACACCAATGCCGATGCGCTTTCCCGGGTGGAAATACATAACGAAGAATCGTGTTCTATGTTAGCTAACCCATCAGTAAAAACAGCCCCTAGCACTGGCTCGACTACCCAAACGGCCCACACAAGCCAAGAAAATCCGATCCTTGAAATTCCTATTACCGACGAACCTCTTAATAAATTCCACAGACAACTAATATTAACAATCGTAGGCGACATAAAAAGACGACCAATAGTGACCAAACCTTTTGATACACATACTCGAACAGCTGTACAGATTAGACAACCGGAAATGGAAGTAGACCTTGTCAACGCCATAAAAGAATACGTTAACCCAAAAGTCAAAACCGGACTATTAATTAACCCCCCTCTTTGCATGTATGACGTCATTTCAATCTTACAAGATAAATTCAGAAGCTCGTCTATGAATCTAGTATTAACTAAAGTTGAGGTCGAAAATATAAAAGAATATTTACAACAACAAGAAATAATAAAGAACTACCACGAAGGTAAAACTAACCATCGCGGTATCAACGAAAGTTTCCTGGCCCTTTCCAAACGATACTATTGGCCCAAAATGAGGGAACACATTACGAAATATATTAATGAATGTACCATATGTGGTCAGGCTAAGTACGATAGGAAACGTCTAAAACCTCAATTCAATATCGTTCCCCCCGCTACCAAACCTTTCGAGATTATCCATATGGACATGTTCACAGTACATAATGAAAAGTACCTCACATTTATAGACGTATTCTCCAAATATGCTCAAGCGTATCATTTAAGAGACGGAACAGCATTGAGCATTTTACAAAGCCTACTTACCTTCTGTACGCATCATGGTCTTCCTCTTTCTATTGTCACCGACAATGGGACCGAATTTACGAACCAGCTATTTACTGAGTTCGTACAATTACACAAAATTAACCATCATAGAACGTTAGCCCACTGTCCCAACGACAACGGTAACATAGAGCGGTTCCACTCGACTATACTGGAACATCTGCGAATCCTAAAACTACAAAAGAAAGACGAGCATGTAGTAAATCTAATGCCCTATGCTATCCTAGGATACAATAGTTCTGTACATAGTTTCACTAAATGTAGGCCTTACGATATTGTCAATGGACATTTCAACCCAAGAGACCCAATCGACATCGACTTGACAAAACATTTACTGCAGCAATACATACTAACACACCGAGACCGAATGAATACAGTGTATGAAATAATTAACGAACATTCTTTCTCCGAACGTTCAGCATTAATAAATAATCGGAATAAATCACGGGAACCAGAGGTTGAATACCAACCAAACCAACAAGTTTTCGTTTCCAACCCCCTAGCTAGCCGACAAAAATTAGCCCCACGTTACACCCATGATCATGTTCTAGCTGACTTACCAATACACATTTACACGTCTAGGAAACGCGGTCCGATAGGGAAGTCTAGACTTAAACGTGTACCTAAAACTGCCGATTTGTTACAGAACTCTAAAATTACTGACTGTACTGACCGTGCTGACGATCGAAGCCCAGGAGATAAAACTTGAATATCTTGAAGACGGACCAGGCCTACTACCATTTAGACTTGGACCAACGACTCTCATAACTCACTATCATACATTTCTTCAATATGTAAAACTTGACGACATCAGAGACAAAGTAACCTTATTGCAGGTACAGCTACAGAACTACAAGAACAGACTTGATAATGACACCAACTTACTGTACGAATTACAAATGGACTATCTTTCTAGCAAACTAGACAAAGTATTATTACAACTAAATAGCTTAGAGCCTAGTCGCACTAAGAGAGGTCTAGTAGACGGATTAGGCTCAGTGATCAAAAGCGTAACCGGTAATCTAGATTATTTAGATGCCGCGAAATATAATAATGCCATAAAAGTTTTAAAGGATAACCAAGATAGGATCGAATCTGAATTCAATAGTCACATTAGCATTAGTAAAGAGTGGATATTACAACATAATAGTGTGATATCCCAGATAATTGAAAACGAGAACAAAATTAACTCAACGCTTATCCAATTACTAGATAGAGCCGCTTATAAAGACAGTAGCCTCATCAAGTATGCTAAGTTTGCCCAACTACTAACAATTTTAACAGAAAATATTGATGATATGCTCAATGAGCTTAATAGGATAGAAAATATATTAGCATTTAGTCGTGCATCGAGCACCCACCATTCTACGTTAAGTGTTACGGTAATTAAGTCTATGTTAGTAAGATTAAGACAAATTTATGATAAGAAACATGTATTCAATTTAGAGACTAGCGAATATTACGATATCATTAAGTCAGGTTATTATTTTACAGAAAATCAAATAGTAATTGTTCTAAAATTCCCTGTTATTTCCAAAGACACCTTCGACCTATTCCGCTTATCCATTGTACCTAACAAAAACCACCAATCTATTATTCCACCCTATCCTTTAATAGCAACAAATAGAGAAAAATTCGTGTACATGGAGACAGAATGTCCGAAGTTGAGTAATCGGTACCTATGCGAAAAGGAAACGAACACCCAAATTCGAACACAATCCGACTGTATCCAGAACCTCATCATCAATCAGTCTATATCAAAATCCTGTAAGATAACCGACATTGCACTATCAAAAGAAGCCATGGAACGTCTTGACGACAAGCACTACACCATCTCTTTCCCTCAACCAACTAAAGTCCATACAGTATGCGGGCGTGAAGATATTACTACATTACAGGGTAGTTACTTAGCTACAATACCAATTAATTGCTTCCTGCGAACACAAGAATTCACCATCACCAATATTAACGATCAAGTAGAAGGCCATCCACTGAAACTAATGAAAATACCAATGGATATAAACACAAAAGGCAACCCAGCAGTACCACGAATCAGCCTTAATACAATTAACCTGAAAGGACTCCACGCAGCCCAGGACCAACTCA